AAAATTAACAAATCACATGGTACCTGCTATGCAGATATTGATCTCTGATTTAGTCCATTTTGTGCTGTTATAAAATTGAAGCTTTTGACTTTTGTCTATGTCCAATCCCTTGTGTTGTAAACTTCCTTGGTTATAAGAAATGTAAAAAAGCCCAGAAGTCAGTCTCACAGGTGGCTGCTTGCCTCCTTCAGTAAGTGCTGGTCAAGCATCTTGTCTATAGTCACTGTGCATACATAGTAAGATCATTTTGACTGTGGCCTGGCTGAGGGCCATCAAAGCCCTTGACTGCACAACTGGTACTTCAACGTATTGGTAACCAGCAGTGCTGAGCAAAGCCCAGGCACTCTGACTAGGAGATTTGCACTGGGAAAGCAACTGAATTTCCTCTTCTAGTCATCTAGGAGGGACTGGCTCCCTTTTCTTTTCCCAGAAATGCTAGCTCCAAGGACATGCACAATACCCTGGGGGTCGAGTGTGTGTGTAGTTGCAGCAAGGGAAGGAGGAACACGGGAGATGTGAGGCTGCTATCCCTGCCTGAATGACTTCTTAAACCATCAGACTGCTATGCTTTATTCTCCCACGGGGCAGTTGCCTTCCTTACACAAATCTCACAAAGGACCATCTACATGTCCATGCCTGAGGTGTACAATAACAATGGTACATAAGTATGTCCCCAGTCAGAAATGGTCACTAGGCTATATGCAGTACTCAGCGCTCTGACAAAATCCCAGTAAGTGAAGCCCCTGCTGACCTGTTAGGGTATTGTGCTGTTACTTACTTTAAAGGTGGGACAGAGAGCATCTGTGAAACAGGGTGAACCCAATGGCAAGTCATGCCAGGATATGGCCAATCGATTATTCCTGTCTTGGGACATTTGAGGATGGGAAAAGATGAGATATCTCTCCCCCAACCACAGTACAGTGCACACTAAACTGCAATCCTGCCAGCAATTTGGTGGTTCTGCCCAAGTAATCTTTCTGCATCATGAAACCAGTTACTTCGCAAATAGCAGTTAATTGGAAGCTAAGTAGGTGACTCTAATCTTAGATGGACCACCCTGGTTATGATGCTAATTGTTTGAATTGCTTCCTATTCATTCTCCTGGTGAGAAAGGGCTTCCCCCCATGAAGTTATGGAATAGTTGAACACATGACACCAGACAGGTAGGATCAACATTAATTTATTGTTCACAAATACTCTCAGAACATGTAAGGACACCTAGTGCTATTCAGAGCCCACAGGGATCCCACATGGGAGCACAGTGAAAAAACAGGAGCTGTGGGAAGCAATTTTGCAGTATTAACTGGGGGCAGTGGCCTGTTTGCAGTGAGTGGACATGATAGGTTTTTTGAATAATTCCATGGGCTGGCAGGGAAGTGTAACTTGCTCCTCATAGATAAGCAAGAACTGTGCCTGGTCCTACTGATCAGGAGGGCTGTCTGATTAAGGATCTTATCTGCAAGAGCAGAGTAGGGAAGAAAACTTCTGGTTAGGCCATTCTCAGCTGCAGATGTCAGGAGAGCTTAATCTCAAGCCAGTTAATATAATCTGATATATATTAAAGATATATAAAAAGATATACAAAAGCAATTTGAATATTTATTAATTGTGATGATAGTTTCAGTGCTGAGATGGGGCTGACAAAAATACTTTACTATAGAAATAAGATGTCATAAAGGTAATGAGGAACTTAAGATAATTCTGAAAAGACTTAGAAAAGTGAAAAGCTGTACTTAGTAGTTATCAGCCTAACAGTGCTGAGATTGTCCTGTTACCCAAAGCCCTGTAACTCCTCCATGGAAAAACAAGTACTAAATGCCAGGTTTCCTTTTAGTAAATTATATGAGATTTTATATATGTGTATATATATATATTATATTACAATATATATTATTTAATCATATATCAGTTTACATAAACTCATCAATATTGCTATAAACATACAGAGTGTGTTGGTTGGTTATTTATTCATTTATTTATTCAATACAATTTTTAAGCAGAGTATAGGGTATTTAATACACTTTTTTAAGCAGAAAATAGGGTTACACAAAAGTTTAGCAAAAAGTACAAAGAATTCCCATATGGCACTTCATCTCTTCTCCACAGTTTCCTCTAAAAGCATCTTGCATTAGTGTGGTACATATGCTAACAATTTGTTGATCCAATACCAATACATTACTATTAACTAAAGCCCAAGATCTGCATTAGTGTTCATTCTGTTTTGCATTCTGTGGGTTTTGACAATTGTATAATGACATATAACCACCATTACAGTACCCCACAGAAAGACTTGATATCTTCCAAACCCCCTCTCCACCTGTTCATCCCATTCTCCCTTCCTCGGAACCCGACAACCACTTATCTTTTCATGGTCTCCATAGTTTTTTTTCCTTTTCAGAATGTCACAACTACAGCATGAAAGCCTTTTCAGACTGGCCATCTTTTGGCTAACAATATTCACTTAAGGTTCCTTCATGACTTTCTGTGACTGAACAGTATCTTTATTGTCTGCTCATGTATCATCCTGCAACGTTACTATAATTGCTTATTACTGCAAGTAGATTTTATGTTAGAATTTACTACAAAGATAATCACATCATCTGTGAATATAGTTTTGTTTCTTCCTTGCAAATCTATGTGTCTTTCATTTCCTTTACCTGTCTCACTGCATTAGCTAGTATTTTCACAAGGATTCTGAAAAGTAACAATGAGAGGGGACATGTTGTCTTGCTCCTAATCTTAGTGGGAAAGCACCTAAATTTTAGACATTAAATATGTTAGCTTGTAAGCTTTGTAGCAGTTCTTAATCAAGTTGAGAAAGTTTCTGTGTGCCTAGTTTGTTGAGTGGCTTTTATCATGAATAGATCTTTGTCATCAACAGATGCTTTCACATCATTTACTGTATGATGATATTTCATCTTTGACCTGATGGTATGCTATATATATGTAGATTACTGAATGTTAAATAAGCCTTGCATACTTTGTCATGTATATAATCTTTTTCATACTTTGTTATTTGATTTGTTTATATTCTGTTGAAGACTTCTGCCCACGGCAGACACTGGTCTATATATTTCCTTTCCTGTAATACTGGTTTGGTATTAAAAATGCTGGCTTCATGGAATCAGGAGTGTTCCCTTTGCCATTATTTTCTGGAAAACACTGTACTGCACAGAACTGGTATCATTTCTATCTTAAATGTTTGGCAGAATTCACCAGTGAACACATCAGTCCTGGTATGTTTTGTTTTGTTTTGTAAAATTATCTATGATTAATCCAATTCCCCTTAATATGTTTTTTAACAAGATTTATTTTTGAGTGCCAATAGAATCTTAAAAGGAACTGGTCCATATCAGCTAGGTTATCAAATTTTTGGGCACAGTTGTCCATAATCTTCCATGTTCCTTTAAATGTCTATGGGATCAGCCAGCGCCACGGCTCACTAGGCTAATCCTCCACCTATGGCAGCGGTACTCTGGGTTCTAGTCTCGGTTGCTCCTCTTCCAGTCCAGCTCTCTGCTGTAGCCTGGGAAGGCAGTAGAGGATGGCCCAAGTGCTTGGACCCTGCACCCGCATGGGAGACCAGGAGGAAGCACCTGGCTCCTGGCTTCGGATTGGCACAGCGCGCCAGCCAGAGCAGCCATTTGGGGGGTAAACCAACAGAAAGAAGACCTTTCTCTCTCACTGTCTAACTCTGTCAAAAAAAAAAAAAAAGTCGATGGGATCAATAGCAATGGATCCTCCTTAATTTCCAATATCAGCAATTTTTCTCCTTCTTTTATTTAACCAAGTCGAGTTTACCATATTATTAAACTTTCCAAATGACCAGCTTTGAGTTTTATTAAAATTTCTTCCAATTTCATCAATTTTTACCGTAATTTATTTTTCTGCTTATTTTTGATATAATTTCTCTTATTTTCCTAGTTTCCAAAAATGAAAATGATCCACAATCATTCCACAACCTAAGAATACTGGATTGTGTAATCTTATTTACATGATCTGATCATGTAATAGCCTATGACTTTTAAATTGTCAATAGAATCCCCATCCCAGCTTGATTCTGGTTCTGTTCCAGCCTCACTCCTTCACAAACTGTCAAAACTCTGGTTTACAGCCCAACAGACATGAGCAGCATCTAGTCTGTATTTGTGAGCCTTTTCCCTAAGCCCTGTCTTGCAGGGAGCTGCTTACAAATAGTCCTCAAGACAAGGGATGGAGCACAGGTGAGAAGAGAAGAACATTAAAGAATAGGAATTTCTTCTCCCAATGCACAGAATACATTAAGGATAAATCTAATCATTTTAACCTGGTTATTCTACCTCTCTATGCTTTTAAAAGGCTTCATAATCAAACAGTCACAAGAGTGAGGGTTACAAAAAGAATGCAATTAACACCAGTGAACTTCTCAAAATCAAATATTGATTCCTTTGTAACATTGTTGTGATTCAGATTCCAGACTTTTCAGTTTTATAATCTAACTGTGTTGATGGATACTTAAATTGATAGAATTACACACACTCATATAGGGAGCATTTAAAATATAGTAAAATCTGAATATTAAAGTTTGAATCTGGTTATCATAAATTTCTTGTACTTCCTAATATACTATGGTTATATAAGATATTATCATTGGAAATAGCTTGATGACAGGCACATGGGAACTCTGTACTCTTATCGCACCTTCTGTGATTAAACAATTTTATTAATTTCTTAATTTTTTAAAGCTTTATGGTTCTAAAACATACATAAAAATTAGAATTTCTGATGGTTTCAGAAGGACAATTATAGTATCAAACTTGTAGTATTTTATTACTTCTATAGAAAATCTTCAATTTATATTTCTTAAAATTTCACCTCCATATTCCTCCTGAAACAATCTAACTTGCATTTATTGCTGAAACCCTTTACAAATGCCAATAATCTCTAAAACCTGATTCAGTATTGGGATATCACTTAACAGTTGCAATGTTGAATAAGGCCAAATTATAGATGAAAGTTACTGAATGTTCAAGGTCACAACAGAATACTGTGAAATGTAATGGAGGCTATCCTATGGCTGAACATATTTAATATTCATTTCACTCATAAGATTTTTCTCCTGTGTGTGTTCTCTGATGTACAATGAGGTTTGACTTTTGAGAGAAGGTTTTTCTACATATGTTACATTCATAGGGCTTCTCCCCTGTGTGTGATCTCTGATGTTTAGCAAGGTCTGATTTACGGTAAAAAATTTTCCCACATTCATTGCACTGACAGGATTTCTCTCCTGTGTGAGCTCTGTGATGTACGGTGAGGGATGATTTGTGACTAAATGATTTCCCACATTCACTACACTCAAAGGGTTTCTCCCCTGTGTGTTTTCTCTGATGTAAAATAAGCCCTGACTTCACACAGAAAGATTTTCCGCAGTCATTACATTTATAGGGCTTGTCTTCTGTATGAGTTCTCTGATGTACAATTAGAGCTGACTTATGGCAGAAAGCTTTTCCACATTCATTACATTCATAAGGCTTCTCACCTATATGAATTCTCTGATGTTGAGTGAGCTGTGACTTCTGACAGAAGGTTTTCCCACATTCATTGCATTCATAGGGCTTCTCCCCTGTATGGGTTCTATTATGTTTAGTCAGATATGATTTATTGTAAAAGATTTTCCCACATTCATGACATTCATAGGGTTTCTCTCCTGTGTGTGTCCTGTAATGTTGAGAGAGTGTCGACTTATGACTGAAGAACTTCCCACATTCAGGACATGCAAAGGGTTTCTCCCCTGTGTGAGTTCTCTGATGTACTGTCAAGTCTGACTTCAAACAGAAGGTTTTCCCACATTCATAACATTCATAAGGTTTCAACCCTGTATGAATTATTTGATGTCGAGTGAGTACTGACTTGTGGTAGAATGTTTTCCCACATGCATTGCATTCATAGGGTTTATCCCCTATGTGAGTCCTCTGGTGCTGTGTAAGATGTGACTTTTGACAAAAGGATTTCCCACATTCAGGACACTCAAAGGGCTTCTCACCCGTGTGAGTTCTCTGATGTACTGTAAGGTGTGAATTCATACAGAAGGATTTCCCACATTCATAGCATTCATAGGGCTTCAGTCCTGTGTGTGTTCTCTGATGTTTAGTGAGGTCTGACTTCTGATAAAAGGTTTTCCCACATGCATTACACTGATAGGGCTTCTCACCTGTATGCGTTCTTTGGTGTAATGTGAGGGCTGACTTGTGGCTAAAGGCTTTCCTACATTCATTGCACTCAAAAGGTTTCTCCCCTGTGTGTGACCTCTGATGTTTGGTGAGGTTTGACTGCTCCCAGAAAGTTTTTCCACATTCACTACATTGAAAACGTTTCTCTCCTGTGTGTATTCTCTGATGTCGAGTAAGGTGGGACTTCTCCCAGAAAGCCTTCCCACATTCACTACATGCAAAGCGCTTCTCTCCTTTATGAATTTTCTGAAGTTGTAAGAAAGATAACTTCCTCCTGAAATTATTTCCACTTTCATTATATTCATAGTGTCTCATATGTGCTCCATGTTTCCATAGGGTGGACTTCAAACCTAAGGATTTCTGACAATTACTAAACGCATAGTGATTTTCCTTTAAGGGCAGTATCTGATGGAACAAGAGGCATGAATTATCACGGAAAGTTCTCTGATATTCATTTAATTCACAATCATTTTCTTGTGTAATCCCTCTCTTGTGTGTACTGAATATTTCCTTTTCAAGGAAGGTTTCCTGACGTGTGCTGTATTCAAAATCTTGCTCTAAAGTGTGAATCTTCTCATGCTGAGCTGGGTCCTCATGATGACTTATAGTTTCCCCATTTTTAAAAAATTCACTTTTCTCTCTAGTGTGAGTTTTCTCTTGCTTAAATTTGAGCAGAAATTTTCCACAGGCATTAAACTCATCAGGCTTTTTTCCTAAATGGTTTTTCTTACTAATAACCAGTTCTGAAATATTATTGAAATTCAATCCACCTGAGTTAAACTGGCAAAGTACTTTTCTAGAAGGAAAATAATTTATGTCCAAGCTAAATGGTTTTTCGGTTATATTACCTTGTTCCTTAGTCAGTGTTTTGTTATTGATGAATATACATTCCCAAAAATGTTTCAGGTGATTTTCTTTGCTCCTTTCATTTAGGTGATCAGCTTTCCAAATTCCTAGAAATAAGAGAAATTAATCCTACCATACAAATAACAACACATTTCTTAGGAGAATGAGACCTTTAATAAATGCTATATGTTGTAAATGACACTGGTTTTTCATCAATTTTTTAAGGATGAAAATAATTGCAAGTATATTTATGTGTAAATATGCACATGCCTATATATGTGTGTACATATATGTGTAAATGTTTGTATGCACAGAATTTAAAGTATTTGAGGTGAAAACACAAAAAATTAGAAATAAAGGTATGGCACAGACAAAATGGGGAAAAGAATTTGGCTGCTGGAACACACACATCTGATTTCCAATTTATAAATGTTATGCATAATAGTAAATGCTTCCATCTAAACTTCTCCACGCATCCTCCAAAGGAAAAAAAACTATAAGGATCAATATGATGACAACAAATAACATTACCTGAAACAATTCATGACTTTACTATAACAAGGATATAGACCACTTCTAACTTGAAATCCCAACTAAGTAGGGAAATATTCAAGTATAGAAGATACAGACAGCCCGTGTCTTTGATCAAAGTCAGCTGGAGACTGCGGGGATCATAGGGAAAAGAGCAAACAGTCCTGGAATTGAGGGAACACAAAGAAGCCTGTTCCCATAAAAGGGAAAGTTCCACTGAGTGGGAAAGTACTAAGATGTGTGAGTTCAGGAAGATGATTGCTCAGCATACTGGTAGGAAAATGGTGCAGTTTTATCTGTGGCACGATCTACACCCTGATTTACATCCTATGCCCTGGCTCCCACCACCACAGCTGAAAGCCAGGTAGCCACGTGGCCCAACTACCTGTGTCAAGCCCAACTCCCATCCTAATGGGATTCACTGCTCCTGCTTTCCTGCCTGCCCTCCAGCAAAGTTTTAAAAGGGCCTGTTCCTGAACATGTGGCTCTCTTTTGGCTCTTCTCTCCCCTCTCTTGGCTCCTCTCGTCTCTCTTCCCATCTCTCCTCTCCTTGCTAGCTCTCTCCTCTCTGTCTCTCTCTCTTACAGTCTCCTTCTCTCTCTCTTGCCTTCTTCGCCCCTTCCCTCCAGCCTGCTGGCTTTTCCCCAATAAACCCTTTCCCTTACTCAGGTGTTTGGTGTGTTTTGTGATGGCCTAACAGAAACACATAACATATACTGGGAAATGTAAGACATGGCAAGTTAATCAACATCACTAATGAAAATGTACAAACAACAAAGGGATCTTAGGAAATAGGATTTAAATTACAAGAAAACTGTTATAGACTAAATTGTACCTCTCCCCACAACTCAAGCTGAAGTCCTAACATCCAATGTGAATGTATTTGGAGATATGGCCTTTTAGAGAATAATTAAGGCTAAAGAGGTCATAAGGACAGAACTGTAAGAAGACTAGTGTCTTAATAGATGAAGATTCTAGAGTGCATGCTTGCATATTCTCTCTGTGTGTGTGTGTGTGTGTGTGTGTGTCCAGAGAAAGGGTCATGTAATGGATGTAATGACACAGCAAGAAGGTGCCATCTGCAAGCCAGAGAGATAGGCCTCACCAGAAACCAACTCTGTGGCACCTTGATCTTGTAGTCTAAGCCTACAGAATTGTAAGAAAAGAAACTTACATTGTTTAAGCAACCCAGTCTTCATATTTTATTTTGCTTCTCAAGCAGAATTTTTTTATAAAAAGCTCAAAGGGAAATTAGACATAACTGAAATTTTAATAAACAGTACTGAATTAGGACATGAAACAAGATGAAAAGGCAACATAAGAAAATGAAGAAAAAAGAAAATTAAATGTAAAGAAATGTTCTTGTAGTTCCAATTAAAATTATCATGTTTAACACACACATACATTTATACTTTGTAAAAATAAATAAAACAAGTCTAATACTAAAAACTATTAAGGAAACTCTCCACAAATGAAATAGGACCTGATCCACATATTCAAAGGAGCCACCATGAATTTGGGAAAGAACAGACTTGTCTACTACAACAGCTAAGTAAAACTACAAGGCCTTAAAATTAAATACAAATTCATGTAGACATCAGAAGCCACGTGCAGGGGCCCAAGCACTTGGACCATCCTCTACTGCTTTCCCAGGCCATAGCAGAGAGCTGAATCAGTAGTGAAAAGCTGGGACTCAAACCAACGCCCATATGGGATGCTGGTACTGCGAGCAGCAGCTTTACCGGCTACACAGCAACTTTATCACAGTGCTGGTCCTTGGAGTCCTATGTATCTTTTGTTCAATTTCACTCCAGTAGTCCAGTTCACTTAACACCAGAAATACATTATGAGGAGTACATCCCTAGGTGATTTTATATGGAACACCATAGTATTCTTATAAAATCAAGAGTTTTAGTAAATATACATTTAGTGTGTGTGTGTATATATATATATATGTTTAGTAAAGATACATTTAAGGTATCTGCCAGTGTAATACAGTATGCTGTTTAACAGCAGTTTTTTTTCTATAAGTCTAAGAAGTACATTCTAAAATAATAATAGAAAGTATAACATAGCAAATACACAAACCAGTAAACATCTGTTAATTATCATTATCAAATGTCATATACTGGGGCTGACATCCCACATGAATGCTGCCTCTACTTCTGATCCAGCTCCCTGATAACGGAACAGCCTGGGGAAACCAGTGGACGATGGTCGAAGTACTTGATGGCCTGTCAGCCACGTGGGAGACCCAGAGGTTTGTGGCTCTTGGCTTTGGGCTAGCCCCACCCCAGCCAATGTGACCATCTGGAGAGTGAATCAGTGGATGGAATATCTCTCTCTCTCTGTTTCTCCCTCTCTTTCTGGGACTCTTTCAAATAAATTTTTAAAAAAATCTTTTTTAAAACATGTTATATACTGTACTTAATTATATATGCTATACTTTTATATAACTGGTAGCCAGGTTTGCTTACATCAGCACACTACAAACAAGTAAGGAAAGTGTTTTTGCTATGATTTTAGAATGACTACAATGTCTCTAGGCAATAGGAATTTTTTAGCTGTTATAATGCTTTATTAAATGTTTTTAAAATGTATACTTTTTATTTGAAAGGCAAAGATACAGAGAAACAGAAACAGATTTTCCAACCACTGGTTTACTCCCCAAATACCTGCAATAGCCAGGGATCGGTCAGTCCATGGCCAGAGTCTAGAACTCAATCAGGGTCTCCCACATGGGTGCCAGGGACCCAACTACTTGAGCCATCACAGTTACCTCCCATTGTATGCATTAGCAAGAAGCCAGAACCAAAGTACAGCTGGAGCTGGGACTCAAACACAGGCACTTCAAAACAGAACAAAGGTATACCAAGCAATGTCTTAACTGCTGGGCCAAATGTCCACCCCATCATAACCATATGGGACCACTGTTGTATACACAATCCATCATTCACCAAAACATCATTATGTAGCACATGACTATCTAACTTTTTATGGAATGACTATAAATGGTGCTGTTTTTAATTTAGACTTTCATGTGTTTCACTGTTAGTAGAGAGAAATGTGATTTATACCTGTGTTCACCTTATATCCTGAAACTTTGTGGAAATCACTCATTAGTTGTAAAGATTTAAAATTCCTTAAAATTTTCCATATACACAATATTATCTGTAAATATGAACAGTTTTGTTTCTTCTCTGTGTATCTGTATGTCTTCTATTCCCTTTTGTTGTCTTACTGTGCTAGATAGAAGTTACAGTACTATAGGAAATAGTGGTGGTAGTGAACATACTTGCAATGTCCCCAGTTTACAGGAAAAGCATTTGGACTTTCACCATTAAAGATTATATTTGCTGGGGGCCGGCACTGTGGTGCAGCGGGTTAAAGCCCTGTCTTGAAGCGCCGGCATCCCATATGGGTGACAGTTCTAGTCCCGGCTGCTCCACTTCTGATCCAGCTCTCTGCTATGGCCTGGGAAAGCAGTAGAAGATGGCCCAAGTCCTTGGGCCCCTGCACCCACATGGGAGACCCAAAGCATGCTCCTGGCTATTGGCTCTTGGCTTCAGATTGGCAAAGCTCCAGCCACTGTGACCAACTGCGGAGTGAATCAGTGAATAGAAGAGTCTGTCTGTCTGTCTGTCTCTCTCTCTCCTTCTCTCTCTGCCTAACTCTTTCAAATAAACAAATCTTAAAAAAAAAAAAACCTGTATATATGAAATACATGAAATTTGTTCCCTTTATATAAATTTTAACAGGTACATTTGCAACTTTGTCATAGTCTATTAGCATCGACATTTTTTCACTTCAAGTGGAATGTAGAAATCTTAGTTCCATTTAAGTGACTTCACTCTCCTCACTATTAAAATATAATTGCTGCCGGCACCGCGGCTCACTAGGCTAATCCTCCACCTTGCAGCACCGGCACACCGGGTTCTAGTCCCGGTCGGGGTGCCGAATTTTGTCCCGGTTACCCCTCTTCCAGGCCAGCTCTCTGCTGTGGCCAGGGAGTGCAGTGGAGGATGGCCCAAGTGCCTGGGCCCTGCACCCCATGGGAGACCAGGATGAGTACCTGGCTCCTGCCATTGGATCAGCGCGGTGTGCTGGCTGCAGCGCACCAGCCACGGCGGCCATTGGAGGGTGAACCAACGGCAAAAGGAAGACCTTTCTCTGTCTCTCTCTCTCTTACTGTCCACTCTGCTTGTCAAATATATATATATATATATAATATATATATATATATAAAAATAAAATTGCCAGGCCAATACTGTGGTACAGTGGGTTAGGCTGACACCTACATGCTAGCATCCTATATCTGAGTGCCAGTTCAAGTCCCAGCAGTTCCACTTCCAATCCCGCTCCCTGATAATGTGCTGGGGAAAGCAGCGGAAGATGGCCAAAATGCATGGAAGACCCAGATGGAGCTCTGGGCTCCTGGTTTCAGTCTGGCCCTGCCCAAGCCGTTGTGACCATTTGGAGAGTGAACCAGGAAATGGAAGATCTCTGTGTCTAACCTCTTTCTCTGTCACTCTGCCTGTCAAACAACTAAATCTTTAAAAAAGTAAAATATAATTGTCTTAGGTATATCCTCTACATATACAGAATCAAATCATGTATTATAAATTTTGCTCTATCAAATACTAGTATTATTTTAGGAAGTCAGAAGGATGCTTGTTATATTTACTCCTATTTTTTTCTAACTTCCAACATTCTCTCTTCTCTGAAGTTCCATGCCCCCCTGCATTATTTCCCTTAGAAATTCCTCTTGCCATATTTTAAAGGCAACACTTTCAGTTTTCTTTTGTCTGAGAATACCTTTAGTTCACCTTCTTTAGTCATGTATTTTCACAAAATATAAAATTTTAATTTAATAGTTCCTTTCTTTCAGCACTTGAAAAAACGTACTACTTCCTCCGGGCCATAATGGTTTCAGATGAGAAAGATGCTGGCGTTCACCCTGGGCACTATGTTGCTCCACAGTGAGTCCTTTCAGAACTGTCTGCCTTTAACTTGCGAAAGTTCAATTTCTTCTGGTTTACCATACCTGGTGTCACTATACAAGAAGCTTTCAGACGTTATTTCTTCAATTACTTTAAATATTTCAGTCTTCTTTTTCTAGTACTCTGACGTTACAAATGTCAGTATTTTTGTCATTGCCCTACATTCAACTCTTCTCGTACCTCATGCCTTCCAGTTTCTTTAACCCACCACAATCACTTAGGAGGAGAACTTCAACAGTCCTTTAATAGGCTCTCTATGCTCACACCCATCCCGTCTTCTCTACAGAGCCACATGAGATCTTACACAAATATAAATCACATGCTACTCGTTTACTGATTTAAGAAAAAAAATTAAGTCATGTAGTAATGGTTAGGACCCTCCCATCTTCTGGAATACAGTTGGCTATCTGACATCATCTCCTGCCACTAACTCCAATCAAAGAATTCCCTTCAGCCACTGTGACTTTTGTGTTCTTTCTCAAAATCACCAAGCACATTTCTGCCCATGGACTTAGCAGCTGCTGTTGCCCATACTGACAAGAGAAAGAATCCTAACAGCTCACACAATCACTTCATTCAAAGTTCTTACCTGTTTTCCTAGATGATTCTTTGTAAATTACCACATTTGATAAACGTGTGATTTCTTTGATACTCTTCACATCACAAGACATTAAATATGCAAAGTATCTGTTTTTATGTTTAGTGGTATTTGTATAAACTCATTTAGAGACATTATTTTAAAATTATACCCTCAGGTCTTAGAAAATGACTGCACAGGGGCTGGTGTGTGGTTTGGCAGGTAAAGTCATCACTTGCAATGCAGCATCCCATAAGCACCAGTTCATGTCCCAGTAGGTCCACTTCTAATTCAGCTCCATGCTAATACCCTAGGAAAGACAGTGGAAGATGTTTGGGCCCCTGCCACCCATGCAGGAGATGTGGAAGAAGCTCCTGGCTTCAGACTGGCCCATCACTGGCCATTGCAGCCATCTGGAGAGTGAACCAGTAGATGAAAGATACCTCTCTCAGGGCCAGCACTGTGGCACAGTGGGTTAACGCCCTGGCCTGAGGCACTGGCATCCCATATGGACACCGGTTCTAGTCCTGGCTGCTCCTCTTCTGATCCAGCTCTCTGCTATGGCCTGGGAAAGCAGTACAAGATGTCCCAAGTCCTTGGGCCCTGCACCCACGTGGGAGACCTGGAAGAAGTTCCTGGCTCCTGGCTTCGGTTCGGCACAGCTCTGGCTGTTGCGGCCATCTGGGGAGTGAACCATCAGATGAAAGACCTCTCTCTCTCTCTGCCTCTCCTTTGTGTAACTCTGATCTTCAAATAAATAAATAAATCTTTAAAAAAAAAAAAAAAGATACCTCTCTCTAACTTGGACTTTCAAATGAATAAAACTTTAAAAAAAGTAAGAAAGAAAATAATTGCATATAGTAAGGACTCAAAATTATTTTTGGGATTAAGAAATGAATATATGAAAGAATGTCTGGCAACAAAAAGAATACAGCAATGTAGCACAATGGACCTAAGGTGGGCAACAGAAACTGCTTGAAGAAATGTGACGTAATCAAGAAAAACAACAGTAAATTTCAGAGTGCAAAGAAGGGACCAATCAGATATAAAAATGACAGTCAAAAATTAATTAAAAATAGAAAATCTTTTGTGAGAGGCATATCTAGTTTCACTGAAGAATCAGTATTCTCCATCACCACAAGGGTTACTACCTATAAAGAGACATTTTTGAAAAATGTTCCAAAGTTGCCAAGCTCTCAATGAACTACAAGGAATACTAAATGCCCAGATGTTCATCTGTACAGCAAACATTAACTCACCTGGGAAACTCTGGTTGGAGAATTCTTCCTCCAGTATCCACGGCTCTTCACCCTGCTCCAGCCTGAAGATCACCTCTGGTTTGGTAACACAAAACCCTGTTAACCAGAAATAATTTAGGATTTGGATCAGAGAGTCTAGATTTCACAGTCTCTGAAAGGAAAGGAAAACTCTGGAGCTGCTCAGTGAAGAGGTCATGGGAACACAAATATCTTCTGGCTACCTATATATAATCAACAGAAACAGATTCTTGGATTCCAACTCTAAATATCATTAAATTGTACAGGGTGCCCTTAAGCTTCATAACTGAAGAGATCATCAAATGTCCTGGAATTATATAGCCAACAGGCCTTACCTACTGAGACGAGGTGGCTATAGTTCTCCAGCATCACATCTCTATATAGAGACCTCTGACTGGAGTCCAGGTGCTGCCACTCTTCCTGGGTGAATCCTACAGTCACGTCCTTAAATGATACTGCTCCCTGGAATTTCTGTTCCATCTGAAAAGTTCCAAATTAGATGACATGGAAAAGCTGCATGGGATTAACCCATGATTATTGTTTACACATTACCTAAATGGTTTACAGAATATTTTGCTTTATACTGTGGGGAGGAAAAAGAAATCGTAACAGGAATGTTCTACCATTGTATTATAGATTCATGCAAAAAGAATTGGCAAGTTCCCAGAATGCACCTATAACAATTATAGGAAATGCTAAGATTAATAAATATCTTCTTGCATTTAAGGACCATATAATCTGTAAGAAAATATAATATATGCAGAAACATGTTACAAGTGCTAAACTGAAAGTGCATACAAAATAGATTAATGTTATAGCTAAGGAGCAAAATTACTACTGTTTTGAGTTTCACTAGGGAAGTACAGTTGATGGTAGAACAGTAGCATGTTCTCCATAAGCACAGGCCATGGCACAAGCAGACAAGGTGTTTCTAACACATTCAAGAAATCCACAGAAAGGCAAATAGCACAGGAGATGAGGATATGCCTGAGAGAAAGAACCATGGAAGTTATTCAGGGAATTGATGGTTGAGTAACTTTATTTTTTTTGAAAGTTAAAAATAGAAATACATAAACTAGCTCTGAACATAATCCCATTTAAATTCAAAACACTTTTGTAGGCAATAGTACAAGTCATTGAGTCCATTCACAAGGCACTGGGGCAATCAGTCCTTTTTACATTAACTGAAGAAAAATGGACATCCTTTACAGACCTTTTTTTAAGATTGGAAACAGAGGTCAGGGGAGCCAAATCAAGACTGTAAGGTGGATGCCTAATGATCTGCTGCTGAAATTGACAAAACTGCCCTTGTTTGAACAGGGAAATGGAACAAGAGCATTGTCGTGATGGAGAAGTACTCTTCGGATGAACTTTCTGTTAGTTTTTCTGTCAAAGCTTTGGCTTTCTCCAAATACACTAAGCGGCAGATGTTATTGTTCTTTTGTCCTCCAGAAAGTCAACAAGCAAAATGCCCCAAGCATCACAAAAACTGTTGCTGTGACCTTTGTTCTTGACTAGTCTGTTCTGGCTTTCACTGGACCACGTCCACCTCTTGGTAGCCATTGCTTTGATTGTGCTTTGACTATGGATCATACTGGTAAGGCCATGTTTCACGTCCTAATGCAATTCAGACTCTTGACTTCACTTGCATAAAGTTTCCACAGAAAGCTCTGCCCTTGTCTTCAGCTGATCTGGGTGCAGAAGCCTGAGCACCCACCAAGTCTGCTTAACTTTAGTTTTTCAATCAGAACTGTGTAAGCTGAACCAATTGAGATGTGTATGGTGTTGGCTATTGTTTCTGCTGTTAATCATCAATCCTCTTCAATTAGGACACAAACAAGATTGATGTTTCCCTTGCAAATTGATATGAATAGTCAGTCACTGTGGCTTCATCTTCAACATCATCTCTCCCTCCTTTTTAAAACAAGTTACCCACTTGTAAACCAATTTCTTTTGAGCATTGTCCCCATAAACTACTTGTGAAGTATCAATGATTGTGCATTTTTCCATCCAAGCTATACCATAAAATTTAAAGTTTGTTCTTGCTTCAATTTTGGCAGAGTTAAGGATACCTTAATAGGGACTCATTTCAAACTGATGTCTTATCTTTCCATATGCCTCAAACTATTTTCTGTTCAAACCTATTATAACAAGCTTATTTTGTTGCAAATGAATTATTGAAATGCATGCATAGTTTATTCACAAAATTCATTCTCCATGAACTTTTTGAAGACCCTGTGTATTGCTCCTTGCCTTATCTTTTGTGCAACTGGGCAGAGTTGGCACACGGGCATGCCCTGCCTTCATTAGCCCTGTCTCATACCTGCTCTATAAATAGAGTATGATAACATCCCCTCTTGTGCTGACTCACCAAAGCAAAGTCCATGAGTCAGGGCCTGCCTGGAGGTGTGGATCAGTTCATCTCTGGGACCTCCTTGAGAGTCCTTATGTCCTTTCATCTTCAGCTTTTCAGCAATTCAAATTCTAATATGACCAGAGAGGCATGGATTTTTGACAGCATGTTCAAGATGACTGGAATTGCAGATGATGACCATGGTTCTTGTTCCTGCTCTCTGGCACAGTGTCTCTGAAGTAAAAGCCAGTGTTAGGATGCTGAAATCTTCACTCATAATGTCGTCTCCAATATATCTTATATATATATACATATATATATGATAATTTACTATGTTCAAGAATATAACAACACAAGAGATCTACAGAAGGAAATTGTAAGGCATAGGTTATAAATTGTAACTTAATTCTCATTAAGATTTTAAAAACTTAGAAAGACAGCCTACTTTATTTCGTAAGAACTTATCTCATTCCTACAGCAAAATAGTTTAGGCATGGTTTTTAATCAAGATAAGTCTCAAAAATACCAAATTTGAAACATGTTACTGGAAGTCTAGAATGAAAATAAGGATTTAACAGGCATTATTAATTTGACTTTGTTGATTTACAAGAGTGAATCACAGGCTGACAAGAACTGATGAAAGAAAATAAAAGTAGAATCTGAGGGAAAATCACTTTTTAACTGGCTTATGGAGAATGAACAAGTCAAGACAACCATGAATTTTTCTTAAGGACAGAAAGAAGAGTAAAAATGCTATATAACCCAATAGATGATCATATCTATAGATCTCTTGGCAAACTAGGAATAAAAAGAAATTTCCTCAATAACACATACAATTTCTGTAAATACCTCTATCAAATATCATATTTAGGGGCTGGCACTGTGGCACGGTGGGTAAAGCCACCACCTGCAGTGCCGACATCCCAAATGGGCACCGGTTTGAGACCTGGCTGCTCCACTTCCAATCCAGCTCTCTGCTATGGCCTTGGAAAACAGCAGAAGATGGCCCAGGTCCTTGGGCCCTTGCACCCATGTGGGAAAGCTGGAAGAAGTTCTTGCTGGCTTTGAATTGGCCTTTCTCCAGCCATTGCAGCCATTTGGGGAGTGAACAAGCAAATAAAAGATAGCTCTCTCACTCTCTCTCTCCCTCTCTCTCTCAGCAGATAAAAAAATCTCTCTCTGTCTCCCTCCCTCCCTCTCTCTATTTGCATCTGCCTCTGCCACTCTGTAACTCTTTCAAATAAATAAATAAATCTTTTCTAAAAATCACATTTAATGTTGAAATATGGAATGTATTCAACTTAAAAACCAGGACTAATATAAGAATGCTTGCTGTTTCCAATTTTATTCAACATTTTCTAAAGTCCTTAGAGTAATAAATAAAACAATTATATACATGGAAAAATCTAAATAAAAGCACTATTTTATAAACTGGTTATGAGTTCACAAAAACAAATGTTAGGTATTTTATTAGTACAATCAGAAAAGTAATATATTTGAAAGACATAATTAACAACAGTAGGAAGAATATAAAAATCTCTATAAAGAGAATTATAAAATACAATGAAGGAAACTTAACAAGCACCAAAAGAATGGAATAACATTAACAGACTGCCAGATGGGAAGGCTCAGTATCATAAAAATATCAATTCTCCCCATGATGTCATACATACAGAAGCATGGCAATCTCAAAACCCCAGCTGATACTCTGAGGAATATCAGGCTAATTCATAGGAGGAAATGCAAAGGCCTGTGAATAAAACAAGCAATTTTGAAGAAATCAAAGTCAGCAGAAATACTATCTTATTTCAGATACCATAATGAAGATAGAATAACACAGGCTTAAATGACACAGGCTTAATGACACAGAACAGTGACCTCAAAAATAGGCCCAAGTATAGTCATTTGATTCACAACAAGAGTGACAGGAGAACAATCATTTCAATAAATGGTTCTAGTTTAATGATAATGAATATTCATGGATCTCTTATGTGTAAAGAGAAATCCTCATTAGCATGGGTCTAAAGTTTAGAAGCCAAAGCAATAAAGTGACAGAAAATATCACAGGAAATTTTTCTTCATGATATCAGGATAAGCAAAGACTTTTAAACAGGACACAAATTAATCATATTATATTAAAATTAGCCATCTTTCTTAATAGAAAGAATAAAAATGTAACCCAGAGCAGGGAAAGATATTTGGAAAACATACACTAAAGTAGTACATACATCTTTCCTTATTTTATGAACTCTGGCATGGACCACATATTATGTCATACTAGTATATCCACACTTCCTTCAAAAAATAGTATGTACATGTATATACATATAGGAATATGTATATAAAGTATTTATTATAAGTGAACGCAGTAAAATATTAAAAAGTGTTAAATATGTATGTACTCATTCATAAATATTCTTGGTACCTTTGCAAAACTAGGCAAATGGATTTATATCATTTGAAGCTTCTGCACAGCAAAGAATCAACAGAGACAACAGAATGTAGAAAATATTTGCAAGCTACTCACCAACAAATAATTAATCCAGATTATATAAGGAACTCAAGAAACTCAACAACAAAAACAGCCCAGTTATGAAACAGCCAAAGGATCTGAATGGTCATTCTCAAGAAATACAAACTGCCGGAGCCAGCGCTGTGGCTTAGCAGGTAAAGCCGCTGCCTGCAGTGCTAGTATCTCATATGGGCACCAGTGCAAGATCCAGCACCTGCATGGGAGACCCAGAAGAAGCTCCTGGCTTCTGACTTCTGGTCAGCCCAGATTCAGCCATTGTGGCCATTTGGGGAGTTAACCATTATCAGGAAGCTGGATTGGAAACAGAGTAGCTAGCTGAGACTTGAACTGGCACTCTGATATGATACAGGTGTCCCAAGTGGTGGCATAAACCATTGTGCCACAGTGCTCACCCCAACAGGGTGTATTATGTAAGGAATATAATTCAGTGGAGACACATTCACAAATATTTGTGTATCAAATAAAATACATCCACACATTTAGAAACTATATATATTATATATAGAGAGAGAGCAAATTCTATATAAAACATAGAACGTAAATAGTATGCCTCTGCCTCTCTGTAACTCTACCCTTCAAATAAATAAATAAATAAATAAAAAGAGGCCGGTGTCGCGGCTTACTTGGCTAATCCTCTGCCTGAGGCGCCAGCACCCCGGGTTTTAGTCCCGGTTGGGGCACCAGATTCTGTCCCAGTTGCTCCTCTTCCAGTCCAGCTCTCTGCTGTGGCCTAGGAAGGCAGTGGAGGATGGGCCAAGTACTTGGGTCTCTGCACCCACATGGAAGACCAGGAGGAAGCACCTGGCTTTGGATCGGCGCAGCGCGTCGGCCATAGCGGCCATTTGTGGGGGTGAACTAACAGAAGGAAGACCTTTCTCTCTGTCTCTCTCTCTCTCTCACTGTCTAACTCTGCCTATCGAAAAAAAAAAAAAGAAAGAAATACAGGCAGCAGAAAAAAGACTCCATAAGACTAGCAAAGTAAACCACAATGAGATAGCCTACTACAAAAAAGTAACAAACACTAAGGACAATGCAGAGAAAGAGAAATTCTTACACACTGCTGGTGGGAATATAAATTAGTATAGCCGCTACAAAAGATAATATGGAGAAGACTTAAAAAACTAGAAATAGAACTGCTACGTGATCTAGCAATCCCATTATGGTGGATATATCCAAAAGAAATGAAACCATCCCATTAAAAAGATACCTGCACCACCATGTTTACTCCAGCGCTAGTCAAGATAGACAATCAACCAATGATGAATGGATAAAGAAAATGAGGTGTATATACACACATAAAAAAAGAATAAAATGTTACCTGCAACAACATGGACATAACTACGGACATTATGTTAAGTTAAATAAGCAGACACAGGGCCGGCGCCGCGGCTCACTAGGCTAATCCTCCGCCTAGCGGCGCCGGCACACCGGGTTCTAGTCCCGGTCGGGGCGCCGGCTTCTGTCCCGGTTGCCCCTCTTCCAGGCCAGCCCTCTGCTGTGGCCCGGGAGTGCAGTGGAGGATGGCCCAGGTGCTTGGGCCCTGCACCCCATGGGAGACCAGGAAAAGCACCTGGCTCCTGGCTCCTGCCATCGGATCAGCGCGGTGCGCCGGCCGCAGCGCGCCGGCCGCGGCGGCCATTGGAGGGTGAACCAACGGCAAAGGAAGACCTTTCTCTCTGTCTCTCTCTCTCACTGTCCACTCTGCCTGTCAAAAAATAAAAAAAAAAAAAAAAAAAAAAAAAAATAAGCAGACACAGTAAGACAAATATCACACATGGGCCCTCACATGAGGAAGCCAAAATGAAGTTGACCTGAACATGACCTGAATATGGAAGAGACAGGTTAGAGAGAGGTTAGATAATGGGTACGAAATCAGATAGGAGTAAGCTCCCTGCATTACAAAGTACAGCAGGGTGACCACAGCTCACAATAATCGATTATATACTTCCTGAGTACGTAAGAGGATCTCAATGGCTCCAATCAACAGGTCATGAGAAAGGGAAACGTTACGTGACATGATCCAATCAGCACACAATGTTTACAATTATTGAAGCTTTACCCACTGCACCACAGCACTAGCCCCTAAAACAGTAACATTTTTAAAAACCCTTATTGGTTCTGCAAATACTTTCATAAACATGACAATACATTTTAAAACATATATATCAGGGCCAGCACTGTGGCATAGCAAGTAAAACCACTGCACACAACGCCAGCATCCCAAATGGGCACTGGTTTGAGTCCCAGATGCTCCACTTCTGATCCAGCTCCCTGCTATGGCCTGAGAAAGCAGTGAGAGATGGCCCCCAAGTCCTTGGGCCCCTGCATCTGCATGGGAGAACTAGAAGAAGCTCCTGGCTCCTGACTTCTGATCAGCTCAGCTCTGGTCATTGGGGCCATTTGGGGAGTGAACCAGCAGATGGAAGACCTTTCTCTCTCTCTCTGCCTCTGCCTCTCTGTAACTCTGCCTTTCAAATAAATAAATAAATCTTTAAAAAAAAAAAAAGTATGTATTGCCATTTCCAAAAGATTTGAAAATATTACTATCCCATCATTAAAAAACAAAAAAACTTTAAAAAAAAAGATATCCTCCAGAAATCTTTGTCTTCCCAGGAATCACTCTGTCTGAATCCAAAATTTAATGTCTTCCTCTCTGCCATGGTTATTGGAAACATCAGAGACATCTGCAGCTCAACTTCACGACTCAACACATATACATCAACACATCAACTTGGCCCTGCTATTGCTCACTTACTGTGGATTTTCTGGGATGTCTGATTTTTATCTATTGCTAATTTCTCATTTTTACATATTAACTTTTTTTAAAAGATTTATTTATTTTATTTGAAAGTCAGAGTTACACAGAGAGAGAAGGAGAGGCAGAGAGAGAGGTCTTCTATCCACTGGTACACTCCCCAATTGGCCGCAACAGTCAGAGCTGTGCCAATCCAAAGCCAAGAACCACATGGGTACAGGAGCTCAAGGACTTGGGCCATCTTCTACTGCTTTCCCAGGCCATAGCAAAGAGCTGAATTGGAGCAGCCGGGACTTGAACTGGCCCCCATATGAGATTCCAGAACTGCAGGTGGAGGCTTAGCCCACTATGTCACAGTGCCGGCCCCAACTTACTAACTCTTATAAATTCACAAAACCCACTGAAACAAAGCGGGGAATGAATAAGCAGACAGCTTACCGTATTCATTGTATGCTGTTTCTTGGACAAATGCAGACAATTCTGAAGCTACTGCTGGGTTAAAAGAAGAATGGGGTCATGAAAGACCTGGCTGTCCTCAATCCTCCTGCCCTAAAATCCTACACATACCCACCAAACAAAATGCTCCCCGTGAGAAAATGTCAACACCCCTCTCACCCTTCAGAATAACAGGGGAATGGTACAAGATAGATAATACGACTAACCTAATTACGTAGCACTTAAGCACAAAGACATCTTTTTTAAATTATTTATTTAAAAGGCAGAGCAGAGAGAGAAAGATCAGGCACAAGAGTGAGAAAGGGGGCCAGCACTGTGGCGTAGTAGTAGGTTACATCTCTGCCTGCAGCGCCAACATCCCACTTTGGCACCAGTTCAAGTCCTGACCATGCCTCTTATGATACAGCTCTCAGCTAATGGTCTAGGAATGGCCCAAGTGTCTGGGCCGCTGCACTCACATGGGAGATTCGGAAGAAGCTCCTGGTTCCTGGTTCCAGACTGGCCGAGCCCTGGCCATTGTGGCCATTTGAGGAGTGAACCAGTGGACAGAAGACCTCTCCCTATGTCTGTAACTCTGCCTCACAAATAAATAAAGAACTCTTCAAAAAGAGTAAGAAAAATCTTCCATCCTCAGGTTCACTTCCCAGAAGACTATAACAGCTAGGGCTGGGGCCAGGGTGAAGCCAAGAGCCAGGAATTCCACCTGAGTCTCCCACATGGGTGGTAGGGATCCAAGTATTTGGGCCCTTACAGGCTGCCTTCCCAGGTACATTAGCAGGGACCTGGATCAGAAGTAGAACAGCCAGGATGTGTGATACAGTGCTCTGCTATGGGAGCTCTGACACTGGATGCCTGCCTGGCAGGCAGCACAAGATTTTTCACTGAGTAAATATAAATATTGGCTTCCTAAGGATTTTTAATAATGTAAATTTCCTTTGGTATTTACAATTTAAAATTACAATACTGGTTAAACAACAATATCGTGTATTAACAATTCACTAAACTGCTGTAAAATATGCTCAGGGCTATCATTTTCCTACTCCTGTTACTTAACCTTGGGCTACTGACTCCATAGAGAGCTATCAAAAACAGTGCTTCAAGGAAAAGGAATGTTTTAGGGGCTGGCATACCATATCCCATACGTGTGCAGGTTCGAGTCCCAGCTGCTCCACTTCCCATTCAGCTCCCTGATAATGCACCTGGGAAAGCAGTGGAAGATGGCCCAAGTGCTTGGACCCCTGCACCCACGTGGAACCCAGAAGAAGCTCCTGGCTCCTGGCTCCAGACCCACACAGCTTCAGCCATCACAGCCATCTAGGGAGTGAACCAGCGGATGGAAGACCTCGCCTCTCTCTCCCTCCCTCTCTCTGTAACTCTGCCTTTCAAATACATAGATCTTTCAGGAAAAAAAAAAAAAAGAGGAAAAAAAGAAAAATAATGTTTTAACACCTTTAATTTTATTGCTGTTTCTAAAAGGATGTTTTATAAGTCACTCGCTTCTGTGGAAAGTGAAGAGCACCGACTTAGGAGTCAGGAGAACTGATTTTCAGTCTTCACTTCTGAAAAGTCACTAATCTTCAGAACAAAACAAAAAATTTCTACGAAATGAGACAAGAACAGGTAACTTTCTAAGACCTTTCTCAAAAGCAGGGAGAGTCGATATGAGAAGGCAGTGAGGGACACGGCCAGACAGCATTGCAGGAGGAACCGAGGAGCGCAGCCTGCGGGCACAGGGCCGCGCCCGGAGACCCGCGCCCGGGCGACCCCTCCTCCGGGCAAGGGCCCGGGCCCGCGCCTTCCCGCCCTCTCCCCGCGCCGCCCCCGCCGCGCATGCGCACCCGCCCCCGCGCGCGGCCCGCACGTCGGGGCAGCACGGAGGGCGCCTGGGACCCGGTCTGACCCAGGCGGCTCTGCCTCACTTCCCGCCCTCCGGGGACCCTCCGGGATCCCACGGGTCCCACCCCGCACCGCCCGGCACCCACCGGCTCCCTCCCGTCCCCAGCCGCGCGAGGCCTTCTCGGTCCTCGCCCAACCCTCCAGGCCTCACCCGTGTGCTACACTGGTCCTGGAAGACCGTGTCCACCGGGCGGCTCCACGACGCCCCCACCGCGACAGTGGAGGAAACAGGAGGCGCGGCGGAAGCCCACAGTGGGCGCAGCTGGGGAACTACGCATGCGCGAAGCCCGCGCGCAGGCTGACGTCGCTGGTCGGAACTACGTTTCCCGAGAGGCTCCGCGAGCCGCCGGTCGGGTTGGCTGGGAGACGCGGCTGCGCAGGGTGCCTGGGACGTGGGGTAGCTAAAGTGAGCGCCTGGTGGACGGTGGTGTGGGGTCCTCACGGTGACACCGAAGCGGAGTACGGAGCCTTGCGGCGCTTGCGCTCAGACCTCGGCGGGCGCTGCGCGGTGGCTGCTGCGCCATTGGGGCGCCCCGGGGTGCTGGCGGTCAGCCGGGGATGATGGGATGCGGGAGCAGCCGAAAACATTGAGGGTGATTAGAATACTCTGGAGCTGGGTGGTGGTGCTGAATTATCTGTTTTAATAATACTTTTTAAAATGAAGACACAAGAGGCGCAAATGTCTAAAGCAAAGGTGAAGGGCCCTTGCTGGGGTGATATTAAAACAAGCACCTTGCAAAAAGAGGTACCCTGGTCCACTGTTGGTGGGAACCTAAGCTGGACCGCTGTGGGAGACAGTATGGAGACGCCGCAGAAGTCTGAATACAGACCCAGCCATCCCACTCGGAGTTTCCCGAACCACAGGAAGTCGGCATGTGAAAGAGCTTTCTGTGCCCCCAATTTCATTGCAGCGCAATTGCAATACCTAAGATATGGGGTCAACCCAGATGTCCATCAGCTGTTGAATGGATAAAGAAATTATGGTACATGTGTACACTATGGAGTATATGTAGTGAAATCCCGTCTTTTGCAACAACATGGACACAACTGGAAACCATTATACTCAGTGAAATAAGTTAGTCCCCAAAAGACAGATACCATGTGTTTTCCTCGATCTGAGGTAGCTGATAAGAGTACTTGAAATGTAATGTTTTGAGATTGGATGATTGTTCACAGCTCTTATCGCTTCTGTTGAGGCCCACTGTTTTTGTTTTTGTTTTTGTTTTTGTTTTGGTTGTTGTTTTCTTTTTCTCTTCATACTATGTGTTGGACCTTTTACTTAGAGTAGGGTTAACTATACGATCATTAAGTATACTGAAAATAGAGCTTTGTAAAAATTGAGAGTGGGAAAGAGAGAGGAGGAGGAAGGGTTGGAGTGTAGGTGGCAGGGAGGGTGGGGGAAAGTGCCACTGTGTTCCAAATCTGTATATATGAAATATACATACTTAAATAAAATTTTTAAAAATGAGCATCTTGCAAACAGAAGGAAACTCCTCACCCTGTCACCCAGTCTACTGTCATGTTTGAATGTTTAGAGTGATAGTAGGTGTTAAAAATACAGTGCTTCAATAGCTCATCCAAAAAGATTGCAAAGCAACAAAACGAGGCGATTCTACTTTTTTTTTTAATGCTCTTGACATAAAGTTAACAGAGTTATCAGGTCACCAAATAGTTTCATATAAACATGAGTCATAACCCACTGTTAGCAAGGCTTTGAAATCTGTGATTGCTAAGTCATTCAAAAAGTTGGGGGGATTGCACTATTTGAATTTCTGAGAATAATATGATTTATGTAAAATTTTCTTAAAGTGTGACATAATTTAAATTCATGTAGTCTCTGAGAGAATAGTTCTATGTATTTTCTGTAGGTTCATGTATAATGGAGAAAATGCAAGGGAAAAACTAAAATACTTGTACCAGCGATTACATCTGTAGAAGAGGCTAGGTTGGTGGTGGTGGTCCAAAGGGGTTTTTGTCCTTATCTGCAAGACAATGCATTCTACATTTGTGACAGCATAAAGCAATAACTTAAAGAATAGACAACACAGTCCTGACAAAACCACCTGTGGAGCAGCAGAAGAGGGGACAATCTAAAGTGGCTCATTCTCCTTGACATGGTAATATTTTCTAATTTTCACTCCTGCCATCTTTTTAAATTTTAACAGATCCAAATGGTTTGCAGATACAAGTCTAAGAACATAATGATATTCCCTTCCTCCCTCCCTCTGATCCTCCTCTCTTCTAACTTTTTTTTTTTTTTTTAGTTTCCGAGACAACATTTTAAATTTTCACTGCAGTAAAACAGCCTAGTACATGACTGAAGAAGTTTAACAAGTACAAAGCAAAAAGACCTTAGTTTAGTGAGAATATAGATAATGGCTGTAAACAAAAATTGAATGGAAAAGTAACCATTTCACCAATATACTGGGAATTTTTTAGCAATTAGTCATGTGTGATTTCTTTCAATGAATAGAACCAATGACAATGTAACATCTAAGTATTTCCTGTGTGGTTAGAAAATAATAAAGTTCATTTAGACTTTAAGCCATTTCTCCTCAACAGTTTATGCATGCACAGGAATAATTTTATGCAGGTTGTAATATTTTACATTTTTATCAGTTACCACAGATCAGGGGAAAATATGATATTTGTTTTTTGGGGACTGATTTAACTAATGATTTCCAGTTGCATCCATTTTGTTGCAAAAGACAGCATTTTATTCATTTTTATAGCTGAGTAGTATTCCACAGTATGTATGCCACATTTTCTTTATCCACTCATCAGCTGAAGGACATCTGGGTTGATTCCTTATCTAAACTATGGTGAACTAGGCTGCAATAATCATGAGGTTATAGATAACTCTTTCATATGCTAATTTCATTTCATTTGGGTAAATTCCCAGGAGTGGAATGATTCATTCATATGGTAGATTATTTTCAGATTTCTGAAGAATCTCCACAATGTCTTCCATAATGGTTGTACAGGTTACACTCCCACCAACAGTGGAATAGGGTACCTTTTTCCCTACACCCTCACTAGAATTTATTTTTTAGTTTTTGGATGATGGCCATTCTAATTGGGGTGAGGTGAAACCTCATTGTGTTTTTTATTTACATTTCCCTGATCTCTAGTGATCCTGAGCATTTTTTCATGTGTCTGTTGGCCATTTGAATTTCATCCTTTCAAAAATGCCTGTTCACATCCTTAGCCCAGAATAACTGGATTGTTTGTTTTGATTTGTTGAGTTTATTGAGCTCTTTATATATCCTAGATATTAATCTTTTATCATTTGCATAGTTTGCAAATATTTTCTCCATTCCATCGGTTGCCACTTCATGTTGTTTCCTTTCCAGTGCAGAAACTTCTTACTTGATGTAATCTCATTTGTCTATTTTTATTTTATTCCCTGTGCTTCTACTGTCTTTTCCAAGAAGTCTTTGCCTATGCCGATGTCATGCAGGTTTTCCCCTGATGTTTTCCTCTAGTAATTTGATGGTATCCAGTTGTAGATTTAGATCCTTGATCCATTGTGAGTTCATTTTTGTGTAAAGTGTAAGGTATGGGGTCTTGTTTTATGCTTCCACACATGTAGATCCAATTTTCCCTACACCATTTGTTGGAGATACTGTCCTTTCTCCAAGGATTAATTTTAGCTTGTTTGTGAATGATTAGATGGTTGTTGTGCATGGATTAATTTCTGGGATTTCTATTCTGTTCCATTGACCTAACATGCCTATTTTTGTGGCAGTACCAGGTTGTTTTGATTATAACTGCCCTGTAGTATAAGAACCAGAACAACAAAGATCCAGGTTGCCAAGAGATTGACTGAGGGAAAACTTCAGTAAACAATGTGATAAAACTCAAAACAGCACAGAGAATCAGAAAACCAGAACAAAGAGAGGAAAAAAGTACATTGAAACTCCTACCCTGGCTCCTGGTCAGGGAAACTCTACTGTGCTGGGGAAAGCTCAGCAGCCCTCATCATCTCCATAGATTGGCAGCACTAACCACAGAAGTTTATGGACTTCACTGTTCTTACATCTGTTCTAGAAAGCTGTATGCTGTATCTGTTCTAGAATGCTATAAGCACCAGCATCACCCACACTGACCCAGCAGGAACTAGGGAAGGTTCCATCCACATCACATAGTGTCAGGGCTATGACTGTTGGTGTCACAAGGCACAGAATCCCTCAAACGTGTCTGAAAGGATAAGGGGACAGCCCCCTATGTGTCCCACAGCACCAAGAATGTGGCTATAAGCATCACAAACCCTAGTGTCATTGACACCCAAGTCTGGGACCAGAAGACAGACACCTTTTAAAGACAGCATTGACTTCAAAGTCAACTGCTACCTGCATGAACTTCTGCAGATTAGACAATTGTGGCACTCATAGACACTTTGATTACAGCTGACACTTCTGAGTTCACTAAAACCAAAGTCAAAGCCATGACCCAACTGATACCCAACATTCCATCTAAACAAAAAGTATTTTCCAGTGGAAGCTACTCTGCAAATAAAGTGTGCAGACATCAGTGAAAATATTCAGAATATAGGGTGCTATGGGTACGGCAGGATTTGTCTCTCCAAAACTCATGCAAATGTCTTAATGGTTGATGGATTAGGGGTGAGGACTTGATCTAATTGTGACAACTAGGAAGTAGGTCTGATGGCAGGTGTTTGGGATACTTGGAGGTGGTTCTCAATAAGGTTGATTTTTTTAAAATTCTAGTTTGGCCTAGGTACTCTCTCTTGCTCTTCTTCCTGGTCTCTCCTGCCAGGACAGGTTTCCACCAGATGCTGGATGATGGGACCACCCAATCCTGAACTATAATCTCCAACTGTGAACTGAAATAAACTTCTTTCTCAGAAAAGCTCCTCTCAGTTATTTTAGAGTAATAAAAAGTGGATGATCACAAAGGGATATCTGAAGGGAGTAGAGAAGAAAAATGCACTGAGAATCAATTATAGCTAAAAATGTCCCAAGTCTTGAAAGAGATATGGATATCCAGATACAGGAAGCTCAAAGGACCCTAATCAGACTCAGCCTTCTGTTAGGGCCAGTGTTGTGTCATGGCAGATAAAGTCACTGCCTGCAACCCTGGCATCCCATATAGGCACCAGTTTGAGTCCCAGCTGCACCACTTCTGATCCAGCGCCAGTTTTAGTTCCGGCTGCTCCTCTTCCTATCCAGCTCTTTGCTGTGGCCTGGGAAAGCAGCAGAAGGTGGCCCAAGTCCTGTAATCCCTGCACCCACATGGGAGACCAGGAAGAAGCACCTGGTTCCTGGCTTCAGATTG